GAAGGGTGGAATTCGGTGAAATGAGGTAAAGAAAGGTAAAACTCTGCTGCCCGGGTGCGGCGGGGGGCAGCTGCCAGCTCCCAGCGCCAGCCCCGGAGAGAGTCCCAGGTTGGGCGGATTTCAGCGTCGAGGCACGGGGAGGGCCCGTGGGGAGCAAGTGGCGGCGTCACCCGGGGCAATCCGTGCTGCGTTGCGCGCTGGGGCTGCTCCTAAATGTAATGGAAAACGTGCCACTTTAAGTTTATTATTATTTTTCCTTCAGATTTCATGAAGTGTATCAGTAACGTGCTTCAGTTACACAGAATACAGGCGTTTTTGTTTCTGTGGCTTTTTAACATTTTGCTCGGCAAATGTGAAATGTACATTTAAGCTGCGGTCAGTGCTTGTCGTGTCCCTTCCAGATGAGAATCATTCTCTCACAGGCTGAAAACTTGTCAAGAGTAGATTGTGACAATGTAAGCTATTACAGTGACCAAAATGTTACTAAATCACTGCTTGCAGATGAAAATCCAGCACTGGAGAGCTGGGTCTGTGGCAGCGCGAACTTGGCAAAGAGCATTTGCACGACACTTTTTCTAGTGGAGCCTACAAAGCAGAAAAGTTGGGATCAGCACCCAGAGTTAAGCCTGAGATTCTGGTCTCCATGACTGTCTTTTCTACGAGGTCTCCTGAGTGTTACTACAGTCCAAATGATAATCTTTGCACTTTCCCCTTCATCTTCTCACAGCATTTGGAGCTTCTGGAGCAGGGCATTTGGCAGTAACAAGGGCAGCACATAGGAGGAGGGGCTCTGTGTGCATCTAGTGAGATCTCAAGAACAAAGAGTTGACAAGGAAAATACTTAGAAAAGCATGACAGATCTTACTCTTGTGCAGAATCCTCTTCTGTCCTGGCTAGATGAGAATGGAATGGCATCTCCAATTTTTCTTTTGTACATCCAATAAATACATAAGTTTTTGACTTTGTATATATTAACACTGGAAAGCTACGACAAAGCTGTTGTGGGTTTGTGTGTGCTTTTTTTTTGTTGGTTTTGTTGGTCTTGTGGGCAATTCTTGCATTCTTTTTTTTTTTTTTTTCTAGCGTTGCACTACTCCCAGTAGCCTAGCATCACATGGTAGTTAACAGCTCTAATTTTAAAACGTGAAGTTCCATACTATTAATCTAGTTGTTATAATGTAAAACTCAACCTTCCTCTTTTTCTCTTATGGTAGGGAAGCGGTATCTGCTAACAGAAGATGATCTAAAGTTACAAGAATTTCAGCAGACAAAAGTGGTAATTAGAAATGAAGTTCATGGCAATAAAGGTATCTATATTTATTTGATAATCTCCATTCTCAATTTTAACATGAGTACTAGAAAACAAGAAGACAGTCAAAGCCATTATAATATGACATAAAATTGACCCCATTCAAAGCAAGAGCTTGTATTTTTCTCTTCCAAATTGTTGCTAAAATTGTCTGAAGATCTCAGGCTTTGTAGAATGAAATGACATTAGTTATGTTGTCTTGGAAAATGTGGAGAAGCTTTCAAGTATACAAGGTGCTTACGCAGAAGCTGAAATGTTTGTGTCCTTATATTTCCAACTTCACCAGACAGTCTAGTAGGAAGTCCTGCTTCAGTCTATGAATCATGCTTCAAATACATCTTCAGCAGAGAAACTTTATATAAAGCCTTACACCTACTTCTCTGTCCAGAGAAATCCTGTGCCAGTAATTGCTCTAACTTGCTCTGTGAATTTGAGTTAATTCTTAAATTTTTCTGTTTTACCTCGTATAACTTCTCAGTTGTATATCTAATTCTAGATGACATCTGTAAATTCCGAATACAAAAAACAAGTTAAGGTTTCCCAAAGTGATCAAGGAGCAGGATCAGTGGATTTTCCCTACTGGGGATTTTGTCATGCTCATTTAACATACATACAAATTTCATTCTTTAAAGAGAATAAATAAAATTATAAATCTGCTCTTAAAATTTAGGTATGGTTAGGTAGAAGTTGACTTCTTGCACTTTTTTAATCACATGCAAGCATTCTGGTGATGTAAGACCTCTTACTGTGACAGTTGTTCCAAAGGATGTGTGTGTATATATATTATCTATACATATATATGCACGCTATATGTAAGTGCAAGGAAGGGACACATCAAATTTAGTTTTGTATAGATAAGTCTTCTGGGACAGAGAGGAAGGTAAAGTCAAAATGACAGTTTTTCTATAGAAGGTAATACCAGAATTTAAATCAGTCAGTGACAAGTTGTAATGTTATTACAATTTGTTGTGATGATGACATACTTAAGACTGATCGACCCATTGTGATAAATTCCAATATATCTTACTAAAATATGTTTGTAGAAGCCACATAATCACAGTTCACCTTTGTGTTGTACAAGTCTTAGTCTCTGAGAAATGATGAAAACAGTGTGCTAACCTATTTCTGTGTATGTGTACTTGGTTTTTATACTCAGCGTTTAGCACTTGAAAGATGAAAAGTAATTAAAGATCATTTTTGGTTTAGCAATGGAAAACGCAGTAATAACTATCCTGTTACACAAAATTTGAAAAGTAATCAAAGATCATTTTTGGTTTAGAAATGGAAAACATAGTAATAACTATCCTGTTATACAAAATTTGTAAAACCTATTCTTTATTATAGCTATAGAGTTATACTATTACAGTTTTAGCTATGGGTAGAGTTACAATATTATAATAGTTATACTGCAAACTACAAAAGCTAAGCAATTAACTACAGTTGCCACAATAACTATTGTGTGTTCTTTATAAATACAGTTTGGATCCCAGGTTTCTAAGTTTTGGTGCATCTTTGAGTCTGTCTCAAACATACATATATTTACTTCTATACACTTGTTGTTTAGACTTTACAGCATTCAGCCCTGCATCATCTCAGTCTTGAGTAAGGACTCCTACTTGCATGCAGCAACAGATATGCATCCAATAGCTGAATATGTTGTTCTGTGGGGTGCTCTCTTGGGCAAAGAGAAAGATAGGCAAACATCTTTCTTCTGTGTAGAAAGGCTGAGAGAGCTGGGGATGTTAAGCCTAAAGAAGAGAAGGCTCAGGGGTGACCTTATTGCAGCTTTTCAGTATTGAGAGAGGGCTATTGAAAGATGGAGAGCAACTTTTTGCTCAGTCAGATAATGACAGGACAAAGAATCTTGTTTTTAAACCAAGAGAGGGGAGACTTAGATTAGAGATTAAGAAGAAATTCTTCACTCAGAAGGTGGTGAGACACTGACACAGGTTGCCCAGAGAAGCTGTGGATGCCCCTTCCCTGGAAATGTTCAAGGCCAGGCTGGATGGAGCTTTGAGCAGCCTGGTCTGGTGGGAGGTGTCTCTGCCCATGGCAGGGGGTTGGAACTAGGTGATCTTCATGGTTCCTTCCAACCCAAGCCATGCTATGGTTCTATGTGGTAGAGGTTATTAGCTTGGAAACAGGAGCAACGCTACATAAAAGTTCAATGGCTGTCCAAGTAGGTGTGTGGCTCCAATAAAGCAAGGGGCTTTCCAGGTGATATACATGATTTTAATCTTGTGTATGCTTGAATCAGAGCCTTGAAATTACCAGCTGGCCTTTGTGCTTGCTCTGCTATAGGAGATATGTTGTGGATAGAGAAACGTCTTTTTTCAAGGAGAAGGGAAGAAACACTAAGTTTATGGCTATGTAAAAAAATATGTATATAATGTATGAGACTTCTTGTTTGCATCAGTTATGAAGGTTTGTAATATTTTTTTTTGTACTAACAGTGTTGAGTAGAAGTTACTGTGGTAATATGAGTGTTGGGTGGGATTGTTTTGCTTTGTTTTTTAAAAAAGAGATTAAGACAGCAAATGTCACTTTAAAGACTTCCTTCCCCTTTAATTTTTTTATATTACCTGATGTATTCCATACCATACACAACGGAATTAATTTCACAGTAAACATCTTCTGAGTTTTCCAAGTCTGCTCTGACTTCGCGGGTACACCATGGGTACACTAGGCATGGTTCTCTGTGGGAAAATTTTATACCTGTTTATTGGTTGAAAGAAAAAAAAAAATTTTGCTGCTCTGAATCTCCATATTTCAGGTACAAAATGTGCAACACAGATAATGGAATTGTATATGAACAGCTGTTATGTGCTTCTTTTTCAGATCCATATTTTAACAGTATTAAAGAAAAATTAAAGAAAAATGGAAAGATTCTCAAAAATGAATTAAAAATTTTACTACATTTATGTCAGACTTCAGCTGATGTGGAACTAGCCAGAAAAGTTATTTACAGGTACTTTTAACAATCCATGTAACACTTTATTTTCTTTATTTTTCACTTTTATTAGATCAGTGCAGATGAGGACTTGTCCTAATTCAGTGGCAATCTGCACAGTTCCTTAAACTAGGGCTATATTTCCATTTACTTTGGATCTTCCAACTATTCAGAGACTCAGATCAAAGGAGAGTGAAGCTATAGGAGTGAACTGATATTCTGTTGTATGCAGAATAAATAGTGAGCCACACAGAAACATCTGTTTATAAGCTGGTCTGGACCTAGCAGTGGCAGGTCAGGACATTTTGTGAATGGGAGTCATCCCAGCAGTTATAGTGCAGGAGCTATGGAAAAAAAAAATCTTTAGCGGTGCTACAATACCTCAACATTTTCTTTACTACACTAAAATAGACTGCTGCAACTTAGTCTGCTATTGCTCTGTGAATAGAAGGTAAAGGAGCTGGGAGGTTTGGTAAAAGAGATGCATTCTTTAACTAATTTGATGTGGGTGTCCTGACTGGAAATAGAGATTACTTATTACTAGTTCACTTTATTAGTTGAATCAAAACAATATTTTTCCTTAAAATGTATCTCCTTTTGTATCTAAATGCTATTGGCCACTGCAGATAGAAAAGCATGCCTCTGTTATTGCAGCTGTAGATCATGTTGCCTGTTTAAAGCTGTTTTATGTTGGCAAATTCTATGCCTTGTGTGATTAACTCTTTTGAGTCTTTCCAACAGGTACCATGAACAGAATGGAATCACAACTTTACGTGATTTTAAATTTGGGCCCCTCTTTATGAGGCTATGTTATGAGCTAGACCTTGAAACACCTGCAGTAGAACTTATCAAAGATCAGGTAATTTGCTCTACATATTTCAAAAATACCCTAATACTTATTACTTCAATATGAGTAATTATGTTGTGCATGAGCTCAGATTCTTGAACTGTATCTGTTGCAGTGGCAAGGATGTCTGCAAAGATGTAGATTATATGTTTTTAATTTTAAAAGTAACCTGAAAATGAAAAGAAAACCAAATGCTAGTTTAACTGATTTTTTAATTATTGTACTTCTGTATAACTGCATCACTTCAATACAGCTAATCAAAAAAAAGTTTTGATTAAAAATAATTGCTCAGAAAAGCACTGTGTTTTCTTGCATCCTCTGTTTCCTGCGTCCATACTGCCTAGATCATACTTGGAAACAAACACTTCTGAGTACTTACGTAGCAGTCCTCTGAAATCCCTTGGGTTGTTTGCACCAACAGATTTAATCATGTTACTCTTCACTTCAAATTCCCCCTGAACTCTGTAGAGGTGCTATGATTTGCATTGACTCAGGAACTTTTTCATAGAATCGTTAAGGTTGGAAAAGACCTCCAAGATCATCTGGTTCAACCATTGCTCTACTACCCCTGTCACCCACTAAACCATGTTGCTCAGTCCTAGCACTGAGTCCTAGCACCTAGTCTGTGAGAAGAGGCTGACCCCCAGCTCCCTTTCAGGTAGTTGTGGAGAGCAGTAAGGTCTCCCCTGAGCCTCCTCTTCTCCAGACTAAACAATCCCAGCGCCCTCAGATGTTCCTCACAGGACTTGTGTTTCAGGCCCTTCACCAGCTTTGTAGCCCTCCTCTGGACACTCTCTAAGGCCTTGATGTCCTTCTTGCAGTGAGGGGCCCAAAACTGCACACAGTACTCATGGTGTGGCCTCACCAGAGCAGAGTACAGCGGTAAATGATCACCTCCTGATACAAGCTAGGATGCCGTTGGCCTTCTTGGCCACCTGGGCACACTGCCAGCTCATTTTTATTTCAGAAGAAATTTAGTGACTTGAACATTTGTAAAATTCTGTGTGCTATTATAACAAAACATTAATCATATCCAGCATCTAAGACATGTAAATTATTCTGTGCAACAATGCTATGTTTTGAAACCTATGGGGGCCAGTGGAAAGTCAGCTCTATGAATTAAAATCATGATTCATCAAGGCATGGGATGTACATAGCCAAAAACGAGAGAGGTATCACTTGGCTGCTGTTCTTAAATGAGGCATGTGTAAGCATGTGTAGGGGTTTTGGTTAGTTTGTTTGATTGACTGAGGTCTGTGTCATCAAGACAAATCCTGTATCACTCACAGAACTTTGTAACTGATGAATAGTAATGTGCAGTAACACTTCTTCAGACTCTGCTGCAGAAATTTTCCTAATGCATCTGACATTTTATTTGGTTATTCATGTTCTCCCAACATGCAACGAGCGCAGTGGGTTGTAAAATGCTTTCTGTTCTGCTACTATGTTATGACTTAAGACCTTGTATTGATCTGATCATCATTTGGTACTGTGATAGCAGAATATTTTTTCAGTTTCATAGTGGTGGTACTTTATCCCAAAGGTACTTCTATTCAGCTGCCAACTGCATATCTGCAAGGCTTTTAGAGTTGCCATTGGAGACTTCTGCTTGTATTAACTTGAAGGTCACAATCTGTCATTGGGGGAAAAAATAGTGTGAATCTCTGGGAAACATCTGTTTAAGTGTGCTTTTGACTATACTGAGTCACTGGTATTTTAGAGGTTACTTGGCAGACGGACAGTTAGGGAACACAGAAAGGTAAACGTTAAACTTACAAAGATGGAGCTCATTCCAGTAGAAGGCCCTGATAAACGCTGCACACAATAATAATACTTGTCCTAACTTAAAGCTTGCTCTGTTTGTATGTTTGTTTGTTTGTTTTCCTACAGAACTTGCGTGGTTTTTTCTCAGAGTGTACATCATTCCATATTTTGATGACTATGTTGTTTAAAAAGGGCCATTATGAAAGTAAGTACTGAGTTAGCTAATGCAAACACGTTTTGAGGAGCAGTCTTCCCCCTATGTGTGTATAAATATTTATTTGATTGTTATAGAATACTGACAAGGTTTTAGAGGGACAAATATGATATAAATCAGCACAGATGCAAAGTAGCTGCAATGTAGCGTGTAATAAAAAAGATGCAAAGTAGCTGCAATGTAGTGTGTAATAAAAATGGAAGGCTTTACCTGTTTCATACTTGTAACAGTATTTTTATTGTCTGCAATTCTGCAGAATTGTGATTATGCTGTAGGATTTTTTTCCTTAAGCTTTTTTCTCTGAAGGCTTAACTTCTCCTTGGTTGGTACTTTCCCACAGCTTTTTGGTTTCCCTATTCTAAGTTAGTTTTATGTGGCTTTTGCAACAGGAAGTTCTCCAACAAATTTTGCTGGCAATTCTTTTTTTTTTTTTTTGTGTCAGAACAGGGAAAAGCGTCCTTTTTACTTCGGTAAGAAAACAGGCAGGAGTCTTCTCTTGTTTTATCTTCCTAGTGTGCACATACAGAGTGGTTACTAAAATATTTAAGGCAAATGCTTAAAATCAGAATTTGGCCCCCTGTGAGTGTATGACAGAATCATCTGACTTAACTGGTAAAAAAAAAAAAAAAAAAAAGTATGGAGTAAGCTTTTCAAAAAAAATACTTAATTTGGAATTTGTTGAGTGGGTAGCGCTTGGTCAGTTGATGTTTCGCAAATCTGTCCAACACTTGTATTAAAGGCTGATACTTGAGCCACTAAATCAGAGCCTGGGTGCAGTGTTATGTTGTAATGAAACGTGCTTTAGTGAAGAGCTTTTAGTTTGCTGAAAATGGTAGAAGGTTTGGTTGTGTGTTTAAAAGACCGTTGTCTTAATTCTGGGCAGTTAGGGAGAATGAGAGTTGCTTTGCCAAGTATCCAGAACTTAGTTTTAGGTTTGTGTCAAGATAATGGAACAGTAAAACCAGGTGCTAATTTAGATGGAAAACCTGCTACCTGGGAAGCATTATTGCATCCAGCCGACCCCAAATTAAAGTTTTTGAAATGTTTTAATTTGAAAAAGTTAATAGATTTCAGTTGGCATTCTTCTTTTGAAGTAGACTTACTGAGCTGATACCACGCATTTTATTTCTTCCTATAATTAAACATATAGCCTGAAATTTCAGAAGTGAATAACACTATCGTGTTTTTGGCAGGTGCTTTGGAAGTTCTGGGAGAAATGAAAAAACAAGGTATACCTTTCAACAAAGAAACCTATCTACTGGCATTTGCAACATGCTACAAACTGGTAAGTATTTTCAATTTACACGATGAAGCATTTGAAATGCCTCCTCTGTCTTCCTCTTTGGGGATTTTGAAATTTATGTGTTTCCAGTCATGATTTCATACTTAATACAAATACTTTAGACATTCTTAATTTATAAATTGCTTCGTTGTTCATAATCTTTTGTGAACATACAAACTATTGTCACAAACTAAATACCCCAAAATTACAAGAATGTAAACATTAAGAAACAAATCAGATACAACATCTGATTAGCTGTTAGTATTCTCTCTCTGGTCTGTGCCAGAATGTACTCTGTGCTTGAACCACAATATTGGATTTATAGTCTGGCTTCTCTCGGGGACAGGGCATATATAACATGTCCTGTTTGTCAAATATCTCCTGTCCATTTCTCCCCCTCTCCTCCAAGTAAATCTTGGACCATTTCTACAATCACACCCAAATTTGGTAAGAGTTAGAGTTGTCAAAGGTAGTGTGTTCCCACATGCCTGAAGAAAATGTGCAACTGGGTCCAGAAAAGAAACATAAATGAATGCCTTCAGTGAGAGGCATCTTACTTCCCCCTGAGCTTAGCTGTTTTCTTAGTTTGGAGAAAAAGAGCATGAACACAGTAAGAAAGCTAAACTATATAGGTTCTACAACTGTTTCCCTAGAGTAGTTTCTCTTTTGTAGCAAGGTGAGATTCTCAAACTTTCTTCTTTTAATCTTCTTCTCCAGATTAGAATGAATTCTGCAATTTGAAATATTAACATAAGCCTTTTCCAAACTCAGTAGGAAGCTTTTTCAATTTTCCCATGTTTTTTAGAAAGACACTGGCTGAGAAAAAATTATATCACTAGACTAAACTTCTTCAGATTTCTTAGTTAACTGTACAATGAAACAGACTACATATGTGATAAAAAGGAGTTAGCCTAAAATTATAACTGTGCAGTAATTTCTGTGGTGCTTCTGAAATACTCAGTTCTAATGAACTGGTGCTGCTTTTAGCTCAGGGGAAATAGAAATAGCCATGTAGATTTGGTGTCTGTAGACTGGGGCAGTAGACAGAGCTAAAAAAGATCTGTGTAAACTGTCTGCAGTTGGAGATTGATGCAGTTTGTTTAGGGATGTTACCAGGTCTACCCAGAGTGTGCTTTCTTTAGGAAGCTGTGAATGTACAAAGACACTGATACTGTGCTACAACCAAGTTCATAAGTTGGTGTTTGCTGTTAGCAGCCACTTAGCCAATATTTATGGATACAAGGTTACTCCTTGGTCTACATTCTGCCCCTTCTGGTAAAGGCTTTCAAAAAACCTAACTGTATTTTTCTGAGGTCTCCATTACTCTCTCTGCAGTAGCTTTACATCCTCTCTAAAATTCTAATGTTTTTTTTCCATGGCATGTTGACAGAGGGCTTAGATCCATAGAATACAGAAGAGAAGAGGTTCCTGAGATGTATTTTCTACTACTGGCTCTACATGTGTTTTCAGCAAAGAATCTGGCACATCATTATTTGATTAACAAATTCATAAAAATGCCGTGGAAGTGATAGTAAATTTACACCCCATTGTTTTAAGAGACAAAATAAATTTGTGTTTTGTTAAATTAAGATAAAATACTATCAATAGGGGAATAAGCTGTAGTAGCCGTTTATAAACTAAAGAGCATTAGACTGAGCTCTTTCAAATGCTTAATCAGTTGATTCATCCGTTAGTGGTAAATACTAAGACTCCAAGTTAAAAGGAGCTCAAAATGTTTTTGCTAGTAATGCAACATTAGAAAGTTCAGGAAAAGCCTTGAAGGAAAACATCTTCAAGATGTATGGCTGTGTAGTACTTAGCTGCCTGCCGGGTTAAGCCACAACAAAAACCCAAATGATGACTCTGTCCTTTAAATCACAGCTGCTATTTTGCATTCATGGCACTTTGTACAGTAGTAATAGAAATCAACAGCAAATACTAGGAAGGAACATGAAGGCTGTTATCCAAATCAGTGGTGCCAGTTGTAACAAAATCTTCCTGCTGTCAACTCTCACGTTTGGCAGGTTTTATTTACTTTGTTCGGGGTTTAGTCAGCTCTATTTACCATTTCCAGAGCAAGAAGCATTGTTTTTGATAGTTGATTGTTTTTAAAATAACACACAGATGAACTCATTGCCTTTTACTCTAGACTCTTATTAAAATAGTGGCATTAATGTTATTACCATATGTCATTCACTACACTGAGATGCCAATTATTTATGCCCATAAAGTTAAGTATGCTGGTAATTCTTGACCTTTGGTGTACTTAATTGCTAACAATGTGAACATGGAACACTGATGCCATTTACTGCTTGCCAGCAATAAAGAAAGTTTTTTATGTTGGAAAACAAGCAAGTATCTACTTTGGAAACATCTTGACCAATTTAATCTTTAAGAGGGAAGCTCAAGACTGCTGAATATTTAAATTTGCATGTGTGCAGATTTCTTTGATGAAATGGTGCTGGATAGTTCAATGCTTAGGAAACACTGATTTTTGTTAACTATCCAATGTAGCTTTTATAATAAAGACAAAAAGTCAGCCTTCTCCCTGATTTCAGAATGATAAGAAAGTGAAAAAGAAAATGTTACTTTAAGTAAACTATCAGGTGTTATCTGTTTGCAGAAGTCAAAACAATCAGGGCAAAGTATAGTTGTTAAAGTACTGATAGTTACTGTCTTCTGAACTCTGTAGATCTGAATATCATCTTTTGGTGTTGCGTTTCTCAAGAAGTGCTGCACAGAATCTGCTTGGTTGGGTTCAAATATAGATTGCCTTGCTGGCATTAACTTCTGAATGCCTTCTGAATGTGACTGCAACTGCTTACAGTCCTTTCAGATCGCAAGATTTACAAGTGCAACTTAGACTTGACATTTCTACACAGGACAGCCTGGAGTCTTGCAAAATCTCTGCAAAACTGCTTGAAGAAGCACAGCTAAAAGGTGACTCATTACCACTGCGTGCATTCTACTTTGCTGTGGCGTCTGCTCTGAAACAGGTACAATGCCTTTTGTTTTGATTTGTCCCTGAATCTCAACGGGTTTTTTGCTATACGATAGTCAGCGCAAGAAAGCCAACATAGGGGAAGCATAAATGACCTATGCAATTACTTTAGGTACTATAACTTTTAGGACCCTGAAATAGTAGGATTGTAGGTGACTCCCACACAAAGTAGGCGTAGAAATTCTGAAATCTAAACCTTTGTCTTCATTCTAATGCATGGGTATTTTGTGCCACTGACAATGCCACACAGAATTTTCTTACCAAACAGATGAGAGTTGGGCCAGTGGACTTAGGTATAACCATGGGCCCAGTCGTGCTGTTGTTTAGTGATGGTTTCTGTTAAATAGAATAAAAATAATGATGTTTCCTACCTAAGGCACAATACATCAATAAAAACTGAATACTAAGCATGCTAGGGAGCTGTACCTCTGTGCTGACATGTCAGCATGATTTACGCTCTCATACATTCGTTTGGTCATAGAACAGTTATGTTCCCAGATTCACTGACATTAGGGTTTCATTTGGCTGTGGTCAGACTAGCACACTGCCAGAAAACAAGGGATTTAAGGGCAGGTAGTTCGTTGGCATAGGGGATAAGAACTCCAGTATTTGGAAACAGAAGTTAGACATGTCCAGTCCACAACATGAAAGCTCAGATGTAGAGGAAGAACATCTAATAAAATATATGTATCTTAAAAAGTTTAAATGTTAAACATTCATGTTAAAATGTTTATCTATGGAGGCAAATTCAAGGACTATGATATGTATTGGCCATCTATCAGCAATCATGGTCATCCTGAGAGGTCCCAGATGACTGGAAATTTTCTAATGTGACACCCATCTATAAGAAGGTTTGTAAGGAGGACCTGGGGAACTACAGGCCTGTCAGCCTGACCTTGGTGCCAGGAAAGGTGATGGAACAGTTCATCCTGAATGCAATCATGCAGCATATGCAGGACAACCACGGTATCAGGCCCAGTCAGCATGGATTCATGAAAGGCAATTCCTGCCTGACCAACCTCATCTCCGTCTATGACCAGTAGACCCGCCTGGTGGGTGAGGGAAGGTCTGTTGATGTAGTCTGCCTAGACTTCAGCAAGGCCTTTGACACGGTCTCCCACAGTATTCACCTGGAGAAGCTGGCAGCTCATGGCTTGGACAGGCACACTCTTTACTGGGTTAAAAACTGGCTGGACAGCCAGGCCCAGAGAGTGGTGGTGAACAGAGTGAAATCCAGCTAGTGACCAGGTCACCAGTGGTGCTCCCCAGGGATTGGTGTTGGGGCCTATCCTCTTCAATATCTTTATTGATGACTTGGATGAGGGAATTGAGTGCTCCCTCAGTAAGTTTGCAGACGACACCAAGTTTGAGGGAAGTGTCAATCTGCCAGAGGGTAGGAAGGCCCTGCAGAGGGACCTGGACAGATTGGATTAATGGGCAGAGGCCAATGGGATGAGGTTCAACATGGCAAAGTGCCAGGTCCTGCACTTTGGTCACAACAACCCCATGCAGTGCTACAGGCTTGGGACAGAGTGGCTGGAAAGCTGTGCAGAGAAAAAGGATCTGGGGGTGCTGATTGATGCTCACCTGAACATGAGCCAGCCAGGTGGCCAAGAAGGCCAGCAGCATCCTGGCTTGGATCAGGAATAGTGTGGGCAGCAAGAGCAGAGAAATGAAGGTGTGGGGAACTGGGGGTCAGCCTCTTCTCACAGGTGACTAGTGACAGGACTAGAGGGAATGGCCTCAAGTTGTGCCAGGGGAGGTTCAGGTTGGAAATGAGGAGACATTTCTTCTCAGAAAGAGCAGTAAGGAACTGGAAGGGGTTGCCCAGGGAAGTGGTGGAGTCACTGTCCCTGGAGATGTTTAAGAAAAAGTTGGATGTGATGCCTAGGGACATGGTTTAGTGGGTGACAGGGGTAGTAGGGTGATGGTTGAACCAGATAATCTTTGAGGTCTTTTCCAACCTTAATGATTCCATGACTCTATATTTCTCCACAGCATGTTCTTTAAGGGTGAGGTTTTTCATATAAGCACTGCCATGAACAGGTGCTGAAGGAGTTCAGCAGGAGAATAACATCCTGAAGTCTACTGTTTCATAGAATGGAATCATAGAACGGCGTGGGTTGGAAGGGACCTTAAAGACTATCTAGTTTCAACCCCTCTGCCATGGGCAGTGACCCCTCCCACTAGACCAGGTTGTCCAGGGCAGAGCAGAGGGGCACAATCCCCACCCTCCCCTGCTGGCCATGCCTCCATCCCTCTGTTGATGCAGCCCAGGATGCAGTTGGCCTTCTGGGCTGCAAGCACACACTGCTGGCTCATGTCAAGCTTTTCATCCACCAGAACCCCCAAGTTCCTCTCTGCAGGGCTGCTCACAATGAGTTCTTCTCCCCGTCTGTGCTCTTGGCTAGGATTGCCCCAGCCCAGGTGCAGCACCTTGCACTTAGACCTGTTGAACCTTATTAGGTTCACATAGGCCCAGTTATGTAGCTTGTCCAGAACCCTTTGGATGGCATCCCTTCCTTCTCTTATATCAACTGCACCACTCAGCTATGTGTCATCTGAAATCTTGCTGAGGGTACACTCGATCCCACTGTTTGTGTTGCTGATAAAGATATTAAACAAGACAGACCCCTGAGGGATGCCACTCGTCACTGGCCTCCACCTGGACACAGAGCCATTGACCACAACTCTCAGGGAGCAGCAGCTTTCAGGCCAGCTCCTTATCCACTAAATGCTCCACCCTTCAAATCCATCTATCTCCAATTTGGAGATCAGATTTTCCATTCCATTAATTTGCATACAGCTGGAAGAAATTCTGAACATTCTGTTTTGTATCGAAAGAGGTCAGATTGATTTCAACCTCTCCGGAGGACCTGTAAGAACTAGAAATTTTGTGTTGTTCACCAATTTGGATGCATGAAGTATCAATCATTAAGGTTTTGTTATGCATTCTGTCTTTTTGCTTGGTGTCTGTGAATAGCACAGGCTGAACAATAGCATCAGTCAAATTAATTTATGTGCGTGGTGATATGGCTGGGCTTTTCGTCAACACTGGGGTTAAAAAACAAAATCTCTGCCTCTGAAATAACATGAAATGTCCATAGTACTGTTGTTTTTTTATAAAAATTAATTAAAATTCTAGTTTGGCAAACAAAATAGTGCTCCATATAACATCTAACTATTCCTAAAGCTGCATGATCTTTTAGCAATACATCTTGCTTTGAATAAGATGTATCTTTATACCAAGTAACTGCGGTTGGTTTAGTAAATGTCAGTGTAACACTTACTGTCTATACAAATCAATTGGTATCACTGTAAATATGCATGTCCAAAAGGTTAAAAGCTCTGGACAGGATAAATGCCAACATTACCATATGCTGCACTTCATTTAAGTATTCAGATTTGTGCCAGACTTCAAGCTTGAATGTAGTTCTTTTATCTTATCGGTGTACTTGTGCTCAGTGTTGGTTATATGCTTCACTTTCGTGCTTATCTGAGACTTAAGATCTGAAAATAGTCTGATGTTTTTGGAGAACTAGGTGTCCTGCAAACTCCAGCAGAGGGTGTTTCACAGGCTGGATGCTCTACGAGGCCTATAGGTCTTGGTGAGGGTATTTTAGGTGCTGGTTTGTGATTCATTGAAAAGTTATAAGACCTTTTTTTTTTTTTTCTTGAACTTTGATTCACATGGAAGTGCAACTCACATGTTTAACTATTTTTTTTCATTATTTCTAATTCCTTCCTAGAATGACATAGCACAAGCCCAATTTTATTGTTCTCAGATAAGGAAAACAGACAACAAAATATACAATAATCTTAAAGTAAGTATGCTTGTTTTGTATTAAAGTTTGACAGAGAAATATGCTGTGCTGGACAACAACTCTCACGGGCAGAGGAGCAGAAGATTAGCTTCTTAGTAGCATAAGCTTATATCAGTAACGTTGCTCACTTAGTTTTTGAGCCAACAGACAAATTTTTGTTAGGTGATTGGTTCTTAATTGCTAACATCTTCCTCTCATTTTTTTAAAATCACTTCTTACCATTTATTAGAATGATAAGTAGTGCAGTCCTGCATCTGTGTGTATAGAGCTGGGAACGATTTCTAGTTATGACAATGTGACTTTTGTTTCTGTGCTACAAGACATTTAAAAAAAAAAAACACAGCTCCAAGTAAATGCCTTCCTTTGCTCTGCTCTGCCCACTTCAGGCCTCCTTCAGCCATATGAACAGAAATGCTTTTCTTTAGTTGCATGGTCTGTAACCTGAGAGTCTATTGCTTGTGCCCTGTAAACGACCTCTGTAAGCTATGTAAATAAACACTTTATTCCAGAACAGATAATGCAGATCCACCAGAGGAGCTCTGCCTCTAGGTTCACCCTTCCTTGCCCAACAGCTGAAAAAAAAAAAAAAAGTTTTGTGGAAATTGGTAATTCCATCTGGCTTCTGCATGATTAATGGATTTTATCAGCATAGTATCTAGAAAAATATTTTGGTCCTGCTTTGCTTCATAATGTTTTCCTCAAACACTTTTTCAAAGCTTTCTTTCTGATGATAACTATTGTGCGAGATTTGTTTTATTTTTAAGGTTCTTGTCCAGCTCAGATCTGGTTCACTAGAAGAAGTATTAAAAACATTAGAAGCAGCAGTGGAAATGGATACTCCTCCCTTTGTGAAAAAAAACGAGTTTTCTGAGCAAGTGGTAAGTATACAATAAGGAACTGAATCAGCCAGAAAATATGACATCACTGATGTATGCTGGTCAGGGGTGCAGGCCTGGGGGTGATGAGGCAAGCCTGAGAGGAGCTCCATGATGCTTTTCTAAGTCTTGGTGGTGTAGTTCAGTTACAGAATGTCAGGGGCCTGATTTCATCCTACTAAAGCTGTTTCAGTTCTAATGCATTCAGGTGCCACAAAGCATCTGGCTGGCTTATTGTGTAGTTGGGCAAAGCACTTAGCTGTCTTCCCTTTTTTATTGTGGATCTAGCTTTTACAAGCTCAAATTTCATCTGAAGGAAGATGAAGAGTTCCCTAGTGGCATTTAATAATTTAATCCCTTGCCTTATATGCTAGTTTCATTTGATATAAAAATGAGAATAAAGTTCTGATGACAGTGGTATTGTTAGCATGGTGATATTGGTGATATTTACACCAAAAAAAAAGGTACAGAGAGAAGTGTGATATGGGAAATAACAGTTTTTACAGTATTGATCACTGAGAAGGCTTTGTACATACACACATGTATCCCTATCAGCTGGGCAGCACTACTACTTCTTTTCCTGAAAATTATATTCATTTTAAACGTATGTATGGAACAAGGTATTTTAAGACTATGTTAGCAATTAAATACTTACACTTTCATTCCTGGCTGTTAACAAAATAACTGAAACATAAAATAAATACTGGGCAGAAGGGGAACATGCCTTTCAAAACACAGTCCATGGATATTAATTGCTGTATTTAAAAGAAAGTTTTAAATCAGAGTTAGTTTTGTAAATTCATTGCAATAAAAGTTGCATGTTTCAATGCTGTATTTTTATTTTTGTTTGGTAAATTTGTGACAGTTCCTAAGAAGACCACATATTTGTACTACCCCATTCCTTCCACAGTAGGTTATTGATCAATAGCAATTTCTCACAGATGCACTCATTCTTGACCTCATACCCTGCATATGGTATAGCTTATGAACTTTCCAGTGTTCTTTAGTATGAATTCTATTGATTTGTACTGTACTTTTAGTGTGATATGTAATAATAACTATAATTGTGCTGATTTGGCAAACAGATTCCAGGAAGCAATTATGTTGCCTCGGTTTAAATAATTGCATTAGTCTGTACTAGGACTGGAAATAGGACCATACTACTTTGAGAAAGTTTTTAATCTAATAAACTTTCCATAATAGGTGTCCAGTGCATTTCCACTGTTGCCTGGTGATATATAATGTGTGCTGCTTAAAATCCTCTTCTTACAAGTGATTGCACATATATAACATAATATAAGATTATGTATATACTTTTTTTCTTTCATTTTGAGTGATAGTTTTTTGTCTTCAATATAGTGATTGATTGAAACATTCATTTGCTGAACTCTAACTATATGTCATTTTTACCCTCCCCAGCTGGCTGCAGCCACCAAAAGGATGGAAGAAAGCCCTGACCTTTCTGCCAAATTAAGAGATATATATAACAAACTACAAGCTTCAGGACGGATAACCACAAACACATTGGAAGACATGCTCTTCCAGATTCCGAGTTCAAAGAAGGCCCCTGCAAAGCTTTTAAATCAAAAACATTTGGGTTATCAGGCTGCTAAACCGCTTCAGTCAAATCTGATGTTGGAATAGTTCAATATTTGGTGGTAAACTGAACTACTGTTAGCATCATCGAGAAGTGTTTGAATAAAATGGCTTCTCCCCTATTCCTCAGTTGTTTAAATTGCTTGTGTGAAACTGAAAATTAAATACAGCTCATGTAGATTTTTAGCATCAAAATTCAAATGAACAATAAGCCATGACAGTAGGTATTTGTGTATTGTTTTGAAACTGAGTGATCAGAATAGTTTGAAGCTTTTCCTCAAGGACTTAAATCTGGATTTTCCTTATGCTAAATGTCCTGATAGAGATAAACAAAATAGTATTTGTATATGATCTGACTTCTGCTGTTCATGATTAAAAAAAAAAAGCATTGTTCATCAGATACAATGTTCTGCTGAAAAGAATAGATGTGACCCAGAGCCTAGATGAAGGAGTATTAAATTACATTGACCATTTTTTCAAATTCTTTGCATCTCAGGAGAATCATAAAGGAAAGTAAATGTCTTTGGTGCCCTTTTATGAATGGTTCGTGGGAGATAGTATGGTACCTGGCTGGTTGTTTTGTCACTTGTAAGAGATTCCTGAATGAAAGTTATTGCTTTGGAATAATCATTCTGTAATATTGTGTGACTCATAGTTTCAGTTTTTCAGGGGTTTACAGGTTTTTAACAGTCCTGCTTGGGATCATCTGAAAATCATTTAAATGCTTCCTGTACAATATGGAAGTAGCTCCCAATCTTTTCTTCATAAATAGGTTTGATACAAGATTTGTAAAGGCTGTCTGTAGTCTGGCAAAGATTAATTTCAGAAATATGAAAGGATGGAGTTACTCTTTAATATATTCAGGTGGTTGCTACCACCAGGAAAAATGAATATAAAACTACGTTTTCATAAACAATAGAAGATAGTTTGGTCTATTTAACCTGTTACATTGCAAATATATAAGGTCAATACCATTTAATTACCTTATTTGGCACTTTCAAGTATGTTTTAATTGCAAGAGGCTGGTTTGTCCTAGGACTGAAGTATGCATATTTGTTGTTGGTTTTGTTTTTTTTGGTTTTAGTCTGCGTTAGTTAGATACCCATCTGAGGCTGTATCCTGAAGCCACCCATATGGTCCCCTACTACCAAAACCTTGCCACTACAATCCTACCTGCAGTTGAACTAATAACTTCTGTTATAATTTGTTGTCATTATAGCTGACATTTCCTATTCTTTGCTCTCTTGATTACTGTTTTTCTTGAGATTGATTTATTTGCGCTAACTATAAAGTTGTGTTTGTTGTTGTTTTTTTTTTTTTTTAAATAAGCTATACATTTCTCTCTCTTGAGAGAGAAGGGGAATGCTGGATCCATTCCAGGCATGTAACAGGTAACACCACTTGAAAGACATGCAAATAAGGAACATTGGTAGCAAAACAGACCATTTAAAAAAAGCTGCAATTGCCTTCTGCACTACTGCCCCTTCCAAAGCTAAAGGGGATGAGCAAAGTGTGCAGGTGGCTGACTCTGGGCTGGCATTCCACTCTGCCATTCAAGTTATGGGGCTCTGCAGTAGGCAGTCTGAAAAGACTTGATGTTTAAGCAATCAGCATCACTTCAGCAGAAAAAGAAAACAGGTAGCCCAAAAGGTTTAAAGGGTAAGTTCAAAGGAATATGCATAAAAACTAAGACATGGTTAAACATTGGATTATTGAACGTTGCTATGGAAGACTGATGATATCCTTCCATGGGGAGAGAGCGAGACAAAGAGAGAAAACAGCAACTTCTAGTATTTAAGCAGCTGATTTCAATCAAAGTCTAGCTGTTTCATACAAGTAGTACCATGGCTTGTTTATCCAGAAAAAGCTTTCTGTGTGTGTGTGTGTTCATAAATTTGGCTTTTGGTATGTCAAGGTGTTGAGCACTCCGGCTCTTACGCAGAAGTGTCTTCAGCCACATGCTTAATTTTGTGTATTTATGTGTAGTTGACTTCTAGTTTTCCAGTGCCAAAGCTCAGGAAAACAAACTTGTCTAGTGTTAAGCAAACACTTAAGAGGTTTTGCTAGGTCAGTGTGGTTGAAAAGTCAAAGACTGAGTTACTAGAGAGTACTTCTTGGAGACAGCCTCAGCGATTAGGATGTGCAGTATAATACCACATGCAGTGGAATAATTATACTTTGTTTATATGGAGTTTTAATCAAGGATGAACCTTGGAATTAAAGAGAAGCCAACACTGGAATTCAATTAATAGAAGGGTTTTGGTTAACAGTTTGGAAAGTAAAAGTAAAAATAAAAATAAAAATCTAGACAGTTGCATTTCAACCATTCTGTGATTCTGTATTTTTCTAGCTTTCAGTGCAAGAGACATACCTGTGAAATTCTGCTTAAAGCTTTATGTCATGTGTAGCTGCAATGAGGATCTGAAGGCTCTTTCATGTACCATTAAGTGGAAAGGGATATGTGTTTTTTTCTTGCATTTAGATATTCTTCCTCATTTGAAACATAAGTTTTGTACATATCCTTGTACTCCAGCAGCTTTTTGGAATAACAGAAAAGGAGACAGCAGGTGGCGTTTCTTGATCATACTTTCTTACCAACCCGATTTCCAGGGTTAGCTTTTACCTGCAGCGTCAGATACATAAATACGTTGGCCCCATATTTAACACATGCCATCTTTAAATAGAAAGTCCAGGCATTAGTCAATAGTCTCTAATGGTTCATAATCATCATAGACCACAAACTAGCGATTTAAAGAGTTTAATATGAAACTCACTGCATTTGTTGGAACAAATCATGTCTGTCAATGCAGTTTTTATGTTATTCTTTAGAAATACTTATCAGTGACCTAGGAGAAAGGCTGCTGCTGTTATTTATAGTACATGATTGACAGTCATAGAGGCTTACTTTCAAATGATTGTTCTGTATTAAAGAAAAAGCTGCACATCTTTTCCAACTTGAATTGGAAAAGTACTCAGTTTTACATTCACATGGGATCTGGATTGTGCAGTCTTCAAAGTACAGTTGTTCTGCTATAGATGCTTCTGCTTTTCTCCGCGGGTTAATACCTCTTTCTTTTTCATGCTCCTTTCCACAAACATCATGACTCTTCATAATGAAGGATCACTTCCTCTGTGCTTCTCCCAAGCTAATTTTTTGCTTCAAAACAATACAAATGAAGGTGAAAGGCTTAGTCATTACTGGGAAGCTCAGAAATGTTTCCAGGTCTCAGGCGGAGTTTTATTTAGTTTAATGAGCCATATGCACAAGTTTAAATAACTTTTAAAACAAAGTCTTGTTAGGACCTTTCAGCTCTATAGAAAGGAGGAGGACCTATAGTGTATAGGTCTATAGCTATTCAAGTTCTTTATTACATTTTTTCTTGAGATTATTTCAGATAGCATTTAAAAAAAAAAAAAAAGTTTTATTGCAAAATAAGCACCGACTCCTTTGTTTTAAAGCTATATCTGTTGAGGCTGTTAATGTGCTTTTGGACTGCCTTATTCAGTACCTGGGCACCAGTGATGTTGCCAGCAGTGACTTGCAATGCACTAAGAATGGTACAGAGCACCAGGAATGAAGGCAAAGGGCAGGGTGGACCAGGTCCACCTGTCTCCTCAATCCTGTCAGTGAGGTGGAAGTTCTTAAGCAGAAGTGGATTCATCAGTGTGTCAAGGCTTGGCTGTGGGGCTTGTGTAGTGAGCTGGGCTTTGGCTTCTGTGACCAGAGGACCTTCTTGGGGACTGAGGGCAACAGAGCTGGTATGGGATGTGCTTGACAAAATGTGGCAAGACTGTTCTCACAGGCAGGTTTGCTAACCTAGTGAGGTGAGCTTTACATGAGGTATGCCAGGGAGGGTCACCATCACCTGGAGAGAAGTGAGAACACAAGTGGCAGTCCAGGTGTGTCTGGGAGACAGCATGACAGGGGAGGTTCTCACACTTTCCCCATTAAAAGCAGCACAGGTTTGGACCCATCTCAACTGCCTGTACACAAACATGTATAGCACAAGAAACAAGCAGGGATAAACTCAGAGGCCCTGATTGAACTCAAACATTAAAAAAAAAAAAAAAAAAAAGATGCACACAGAAGGTGGAAACATGGATAGGTATGAGGAATGCAAAGACACATCCCATGTATGTAGAAATAGATTAGGAAAGACAAAAGTTAGGTGGAGCTGAAACTGCAAGGGAGGTGAAGGGTGACAAGGGTGTACTTTAAGAAAAGTACATTGGTAGCAAAAGAAAGGTTAAGGAGAATGTGGGCCTACCAGTCAACAGGGTAAGGGAACTAGTAACAAGCAACAGGGAAGAGACTGAAGTACTCTGACTTTTTGCCATCAAGCTGGTCAGGGCACTGGAGAACATGACATACAAAAAGAGACTGAGAGAACTGAGTTTGCTCAGCTTTAAGAATGACTGAATATAGCTAGAGTTGGTACAACAAGTGAGGTGGCCTGGGGAACCTAATAGTCAGCAGGGATTCAGCAGGCTGCCTGAACAGGCATGAATCATCTTTTCATTAGCTCTTTACAGAACTTTAGTTGTGTGATCAAACATTACTCTGTTTTGGTAGTAAACAACTCTTAAGACCAAATGCCCAAGATTCTCTTGGGGATTTGAAATGAGTTCAGGAACACCAACAGATACTTTCTTCTACATTGGAACAGAAGTTTTTATTCCCTTTCCACAATGAGTCTAATTCAGATTATAAAATCCAAGGCTGAAGAGGTTACTATCAACATTGGGTTGCTACTTTGATTGTTCTAGAGATAGGACTATTGTCCTCAGCCTTTGATTCCTTAGTTGCCAGATTCTCCATTCAGATCCAGAATTATTGCTGTTTCTCTGGTTTGTTTATGACATTGCACCCAGTATTTTGGCTTGAGATGCAGGTACAAACATTTCACAGACAGCTCATATATAATCTCTTCATTTCACTTATTATCAGCTTTCGCTTGTTTTCTGAAACTTCGGAATTTGCTGGGGTAAAAAAATATATACATCTCCAGTGTGCCTTTCTTTGGTGCTTAGTAAAACCAGGCCATTAGAGCAGTGGTCTTAATATTTCTTGCTATATTTGGAGTACTTTAAGGGGAAGACTACTTTTCACAGGCAATATCAAAGCAGATAATGATGTGGACTAATACCATATTACCAGCAATCTGTGCTTATTTTCTTACTAACTAGCCACAGCTCTATGTGCAAGTCTTACTCTGTGAATGCTTCAGGAATGAGGCTGAATAAGTGCACTAACCTCCATCGAACACAAAGCTTTGACTTAGCTGCTTGGTAGCGTGCTTGGACAGGCAGCAACTGCTGTTTGTCTGAAACAGCTGAAGTTTTTTGTTCCTGTTATCTCAAGGGGATGGGTGCTTGCAGTGAATATAGAACATGCGTT